CACGTTTGTTCAAGCAGGGACTGCCCAAAGAACAGCTGCGTTTCTGGCGTGAACTGATTGTCACAGTGTGAGAACCAGCACAGGCTGTGACTGTGCAGGGAGCAAGAAATGACACCTAATTCCCTCCCCAAATCCATGGTTATCCCTGACTGAGCCAAAGGAATGATCATGCAACTGCAGAGCAGCCCAGCCACCCCTAGAGGCAGCTCACCCCCAACTGCAGAGCTCTGTGCTCAGAGAAACACTCAGAATTCTGCTTATCTGCCAATAAAATTCTGCTTGTCTCCGAAATAACTACAAAAAACTCCTGACTGTTGCAGTGGCTCTTTTGCTTTTAAACAAGTAACATGTCATTTATCACTGACTGCATGTTACTGATTTTGTAGCAAAAAAAATTCCAGTTGATTTTGTCAATACCAAGCTCAGAAAATGTGATTCTTTATAAATAAGAAATGTTATAAATAAGGGTAGGAAATTATAAATAAATAAGATTTAAATAATAAATATATAATAGAGAATATTCTATACAATAGATATCTATAGATATAGAGATATAGATATTATTGATTTTATAGAAATATAATATAATATAATATAATATAATATAATATAATATAATATAATATAATATAATATAATATAATATAATATAATATAATATAATTCTATATATATAAATAAATAGATATAATATTAAATATATATATATTTAGATCAACATAGATAATATAGATAATAGATATAACTACATATTATTTATAATAATATAGTATAAATAATATTAAATTCTATTTTATAAATAAGAAAATGTCTTAGGAAAGGGAGATTTTTGCAAAAGAACAGGCAAGAAACAGCATTAAAATGCTTCTCTATGAAAAGTGCATTAAATATGACTGGATATTAAAATATTCCCCCAAACAGTAACCCCAGAGCAGCGGAGCCATGCAGGGAATGCCATGGATGAGCAGGATGGGGAATGTGGGCCCTACCTGGGTTAGCCATGCTCCTGTGAATAGCAGCCAAATCCTTCCTCTTCCACTTCTGCATCTCCTCCTCCATCTTGTCGATCTTGGCGGGGTTGAGGGCCCACAGGCAGCCCTTGCGGGACGTCCCGCTCAGTTTGTTCTCCACCTTCTCAAAGCACTTGTTCAGGGACAGGTTGTGGCGCACGGAATTCTTCCACCCATCAGGGGCAGTCTGCGAGGGCAGGAAGGGGTTAATGGGAGCAGCCGTGATATTTCCTGAAAAATCCCCTGGCCAGGGTTTTTTCTCCTGAGAAGCCTCAGAAAAGAGATGTAAACAATAATTATCTGATCACTTCTCCCTGTGTTTTGCTACTCTGGAATGTGGCAGGTGCATCTTTGATTGGTTCCATGTGAGTTGTTTTTACTGAATGAGCAATCCCAGTCCAGCTGTGTCGGACACTGTGGTCAGTCA